TTAAATAACCATTTGAAGAACGAGCCCCTGTGGTTTATGGGTGACCAGTAAATTGTGGGGAAGAGTCTTCGGTTTGTTGTGATGTGGTGATACTTTACCACCTGTTGACCATTTGGGGCCAGGAGAGGTCTGAGATGAGTCTGAGTTTGGTGGTGGTGGGTTCTTGGCTGAGGGCTCCTTCCCCAGGTCTTGCTTTCTACGCAGTAATGCGGGCGCCCGTCTGGCTGCAGCTGTGAGGAGTTGGGGTGCAGCCCCGGCAGGAGACCCTGGAGGGTACCAGGGACTCTAGATCTGTTCCTGATTCCTTCCTCCATCCAGGACAGTCCGAGCCTGCCCAAAACACTTGCATCCCTAACCACTTTTAGTGAGAGAAAAGTGGTTTATAAAATGGAATGGAGTCTTGCACTTCAGCATGGGTGGGACAAGTTAAGATTTACTTGCCCAAGACTTACTTATCTTAGTCAGCCATTCCTGCCTCCTTCTGATTCTCTGTTGCTGAGCATGGGGGTAGTTAATACCGTATCTAAGTTACTGCCTTAGAGTCCACCAGGTGATGGGTGACTAATTGTGGCTCACTTTCTAAACTTCACCTAACCGTGCCTCCTATTCAGATTCAAAGTGCCAAACCAGCCTCTGTATGACGCAGATCATGTGACTCTGACACCTCTCACAGACACTGTCCTTCCAAAACGTGGCTGTTCCTTCCTCGCTGGCTGGTCTCACAGCTGCAGGGTTGTTTCCTCCCTGGCTGGTAGCAAAGAGGAGGGTCAAGCCCTGTATTAGGGGGGTCCAGCATCAGGTACCATCACAGGTGGGCAGATGACAGCCTCTAGAGAGGCCTGTGGGGGAGGGGAAAGATGCATGAGGAATGGACTACACCTTTTCTTTCCTTAATTAAACGACATTCCCTACCTTATCTTTGCAGCTCGGGGTGAGCCAGTTTCTTGGTATGAGAAGGCTACCTGCTCGTCAGGGTCAAATGCAGGGCTGTGTTAATAGTCCAAGTGTCCACAGAGAATGAAAACCGCTTTCGGCCTATACAGCAACTGTCACTGGACTGGGCGTGTTAAGAGCGCCGCGTCCTCCTCTGCCTGCTCCTCTCCTTCCTGGGCTGGTGGGGCGCCCCCAGGGCACACTCTCAGCTCCACTGCTGTCCAGGCTGGGTGGCTGCCGCAGCTCCCCTCTCATGGGTGAAGAACTTGGTTTCACCTCCATTCCCCACCACCTGCTTCGAGGCTGCCCTGCCTTTCACGCGACCCTTTGGAGTTTGCCCAGGGTCCTGCTCTCTTTCCCAGCCCTGGGTTACTGCCTCTTCCAGATGTGCCCCCCCAGCCTCTTCACCTCACTCCTCTGTGGGGGGCCTCCTCGCACGCAACTTCTGGTGCTTTGTGAACTTAAGCCTCACATCCCAGATGAACCTAGGCTCCCAAGGGAGGTGCTGTGTCTCTGTGGGGATGAACAGATACACCGAGTGCAGCCGGTGCAGCCGGATCACACGTTTGCCTCTGGGACCCCCAGTTCCTTGAAAGCAGGGATTGATTGTCCTGGGGTGCGTTACTGATGGGGAGCTCTAGACTTGTGAGGGAAGGAAACGGCTGTAGCTGCCAGAATGGGAATGGTTGGTGAATGGAATCGTGGCTTCCCTATTCCAGAGTGTCCTTGTTCACAGATGGGCCTGGAGGCCTAGTTCCTATGGCATATTTGGCCTTTCAGCGGTCCCCCTTGTACCCCACACCACTGACCCCTCATAGCCACTCTGCATCAGAGGCTGGCAGAGGCTCTGCATCCTGCCGTCATCTCAGACCCAGAACTGAGCTCATCAGCCACCCAAAGCAGGTTCTGGCTCCCGAGCGCTCCCAATCTTACTGGTCCCGGTCCTGGGCCATAAAGATGATACACCTTTGACTCATATTTCACTGCTCACCAGCTCCCACAGATCCACCCAACTTGCTATCTGCCAAGTACAAACTCATCCTCGGGCAGAGGGCCCGTGGGTCATCTTTTATGGCCCTTCTGTTGCAGGGGGGCCTAGCTGGGCCCTCTGGGCTCAGCATCTTCTGATTGCCCGCTTACCTGTCACCCAGGTACTAAGGCCCCCAATGGAGCCAGTCTGCTGAAATATGAGATCTTTCTTTTTAAAAATCTCTATCAAGTTTACATCTGAGGCCACTTGAGTTGCCAAGCATGGGCGTCCAGATCCCTGAAGCCGTGGGTGTAATTCCCAAGCTCCTCTCATTAATTGCCCTTATCACGCTTAAGTGAATTCCGTGGAGGGTTTTGACTCATGGTGAGCAGCCGGATGTTCCTGTATAATTTCGTCAACCATTCTGACATTTGCCAACTACGTCCTGTCTTTACATGTTTTCCTGCCTTTCATGCACTGCCCCCTCTGCCTGGAATCGCCCTTGTCTACTGAGAAAGTTCCTACCCATCCTTTAAGGCCCAGGGAAACTGCGTACCCGCCTCTATCAGCATACCTCACGCTGTGTCATAATTATTTGTCCATACTTCTGTCTTCTCCACTAGACTGCATGGTCCATGGGAGCAGGGATTAGGCCTGATTTATCAATATTCCCTCCAGTGCCCAGCACAACAGGGTTCAGGCCGTGTTGGCCACATGGATCCATCTTTTATTCACACGTATTTGCTCATAAACTCCCTTGTGCCGGTCACTCTGCTACGCATTGGGCACATTGGGATGAGCAAGGCCAGTTAGCAAGGAAATGTAGATGGACGAGATTCTTTGGAACCGCTGTGCTGTCAAGGGGCTGCTTTAGATGCAGGCGTGCAAGGAAGGCGTATCTGAGAAGAGACTTCAGAGCTGAGGCCTGAAGGCTGAGGACTGATAAGCCGTCCAGAGAGCTGGGGAAGTGAGCTCAGGACAGAGGGACAGCAGGTGCACACTTGCAGAGGAGGAAAGGGTTTTGACTCAAGAGGAGGCTTGGAGTCCTGGGGGAGCGGACAGGGACGGAGGCTGCCGAAGCACGGGGATCGAGGGGGAGGGCCGTGTGGGGTTGGCCTGGCCGGATCCTGCCGAGCTGCTTCCGTTAGGTCACAGTATGGACTTTGGATTTTTTTTGCTGGGAGCGGTTGGGAAGTCCTCAGAGGGTAGGACATGTTTCAGACTTTTAATACCCGATATGGCCAAGCAGATGTGCATGTGCTGAACCTTGCCCCACTTCCGCTACCTCCCCTTGTCCTGCTGCCTCTTCTCCGCCCACACTCCCCTCCCCGGCTTGCTTCTGTTCAGACCCTGAGATCTGCGCCCACACTTGCTCCGTAGCTGTCTGGGCTGCTCCTTTTTGCAGCCCTTCCTGGTTCCTGCCACAGCTCTGAGGTGCCAATGAGGTTCCACGCCCCCTGAAGCTCCTTTTCTCACTCCCCTGAGCTGATAGCACGATGGTTCTTGCACTGCTGAGGCTCAGCGTGCATTTCTGACCGTTTCTTGGCCTTTTTGCACCTGTGAGTCACGGCCCTCCCCTTCCACACGCGTAGTTGCTTATCTTTCTTGGTGTGCTTATCTCCTCCAAAGGACCAGCCTCTTGGACTTATTTGGGTTCTCCCTCCCTGAACCTACCCCATTTTAGTTTAGAGTCCCTCATCCGGTGAGCTGTCCTGTCACAAATACATCCTGAGATTATCTCCTCACTTTAAAAAGAAATAAAAAAGGCTGAAGTTTATTGAGCCCTTACTACATGCAAGACATGCATTTTCAATGAAATATTAATTACTCATTTAACCATGACATCAACCCTGTGAGTTAGGTGCTGTTATCATCCCTGCTTTACAGATGAGCATACTGAGGTTTGGAGATCACACAGTAGATGGCAGAGCTGGCTTTGAACCCAGGGTATTTAACTGTTCCTACCTGGTGCCGTCCAGTGTGGTTCTTTGTGGTCCTGACATTCTTATCCACACCATCTCCAAAGCCACTTTCCAGTGGTTGCTCACTTTCCTCTCTTCACTCCAAAGGTCTAACTTCATGGGTAAAATGAGCAGCAGAACCCCCCGTTCCCTGACCTGTGCCACCCTTGGGTCCAGGAGCTCTGCCTCTTTCCTCTGTAGCACTTAGGCCTATTGGGCACACCTGCCTCCAGTTCACAGCCGTGAGCTAAGCCTCTTCTTAGGATTACAAATGCTGTCATGTCTCTCCCTGCCACCCAGGAAGGGGGCGGGAAACAAGAAAAATGAGAAGAGGCTGTAAGAAGACAGTTTAGCTTAAAGACCTTTCTAAGAGGCAGAGCTGTCTGGAGATGGAATCAATTGCCACCTCTACCATTAGAAGGGAGACTCAGCATTAGGGGAGTGGCTAGACTGTATTTTTGGAGAAATTCTCCAGCACTGGGAAGATGGGATTATGTACCTTGAATGGTGCTGGGTGGAGTAGAACTAAAATGGTAAGAGACAGTGCTCCTGGATCCAGGGACAGTACTCTCCCCACAACAGTGCTCCTGCAGCCTTCCTAGATGGGGCCCATTGGCCCACTTGAGAAGTGAAAGTGGCAGTTGAGGCCTCTCAGCCTGGGTCACACCTGCCCAAGGAGAGCATTGCAGGTGTGAGACAAATGCAGGTATAAGACCACCAATGCCTGCTGCGACCCACAGCTGCAGGGCACACCCCGGCTTTCCCCAACCCTAGGGGAGCCTTGAGGCTTCCCCAGGGGTGGCTGGAGCTTCTGGAGCCGTGACTGTAATGATGGTAGGAGTGGCAATCGCTGTCTCGCTGCTGCAGGTCACTCTGGAGAGCCCTAGTGGCTTTTCATGACACAAGCACATGCTGAAGATTCATGGATTAAGAACGCTGGTGCCTGGAGGGCGGAGCCATGGAGATGGCAGAGACCACACGTGGGCTACCGAGATTCCTATGAGAGTGCGCTTGTGATGGCGGAATTGAGAGGGCTTGGCGGTCTTGGGTACGTGATGTGGAACTCTGTAATTTTTCCTTTGTTCTGTATTTGAATTTTCAGTGAGAAGGAGGAGACTAAGCAGGGAAAAGGACTCATGGCTTCTGATGCGAGTCACGTGCTGGAAGCTGCCCTGGAGCAGATGGACGGGATCATTGCAGGTATGGTCAGGGGTCCTGGCGACCCACAGCTCATCCTCCGCCCTGAGAAACCGTCTCCTCTCATTGGACTTTTCTTTTGGGTGCAGAGAGAAGGCCCCTGTTGGATTTCTTATTTCACTGTGTGTGCCATCTCTTTTTTAACAGTGCAAACTTGGACTCTTTGATGTCTGGTGTGAGTCCAGGGCTCTGTTGAGAGTACAGATGCGCCATCTATTAGCATCTGTATAACTGTATTGCAGTTTGGATCCTGGCTGCAGCAGGTGCAGTGAGATTGATCTTATTGTAAAGTTTTCAGAGCACATCATGGCTTATTACAGTCGAGCTGAAACTTGCAATCTCGCAGACTTTGCCCCGAACGCTGGTGTCAGCTCCCTTTCCCGGCTGGTCTCCAGTTTGTTTGAGAGTCAGGAAACAGTTTTGTATTGATTCTCATAATCACCTGAAGAACGTTCTGTATGTTTTTTATCCATCGTAACTGTTTGGCTTCATGTTTGCCTTATAGCCAGTTAGGATTATTCTCTAGAAGAGATCCAGCAAAACTGGTTAATTGGAAAGGACTGCCAGTGGGCTGTTTGGGCTGATTAACTCCTTGATGGGGGCAACTGAAGCCCATACTGGTTAGAATAAGCCTGTCATTGTTGGAAATCTTTCCCCGCAGGCCCCAGGCTGCCTTTCTGTCCTTACCTGATACAGGTCAGTGGCCTTATTTGTTGACTGGGTGTGTTTCTTTGGGACTTTGTTCCTCATTGTATGGAGCTAGGGCTGCGGGAAGAAGATTTGGGCTGGCTGGCTAGAGCCCAGGGCGCGCACAGAGCACCGGGCATTGCCCCCTTGCCTTTCCTTCTGTCCTGCAGATACACCTGACGCACTGAGGGCTCTGGGTGTTTGCACCTGGGACAGAGGACGTGTTCTAGCTGTCATCTGTCAGGCTCTTAATTTCTCAGTGGACAGAGGGGTCTTTGGGAGGCTGCGACTAACATCCCACTTTTCAGAAGCTCCAGAGGTTGGGATGTCCTGCTCTAGATCAGGGTCCCTGAAGCCCTACTGAGAGGAAATGGCCAAGAGCATGGGTTTCCTAGCAGTCCTTTCAGAGAGTCGCATCTGGAAGGTTCCGGGGCCTCCTGTGCATTGAGATCAGAGCCACAGGGTCAGACTCTCAGACCATCTCAGGCTGTCAGCACTGCTGAGCCCCCAGCCAAGGGGCAAGGAAGAGACTCTGAGAGCCCCTGGAGTGAGCAGAGCTCTTGGATGGCTAGGACGGATAAATGGGACACCGCCTAAAGAAGGTAGCCTTGTGTGAGGTCAGTTCCTCCTCCTGCCTCCTAATTTCCGCACACAGGCATTCCTGAAATG